TGATATTTTAGTCTCATATCATGTCTCTAATTAAAGCTTATTTATTACACATGTATTAACCTATGTATTTAGAAATGAATTCAGGGAGCATGACTTGAGGGAGAAGCTTTTCTTACTCCCAAATCAAATCAAAACATCATTGTGTGCCATCATCAATTGAAAGAGAAAAATAGAATCCAAACTTTATTTTGATAATTTATTTAATTATATTTTAATTTATTTGAAAGAGAAAAATAGAATCAAAATTTATTTTGTCCCATTATTTCTCACCTAAACCTTTATCCTAAATGTTGTTAGAATGTATTTAATATTTGATTAAATCAGGAGTTCAAATAGCCCAAAAGAGAGGTTCAAACAGCCCAGCACAGCAGCAGTTCAAAAGGTTCAAGTGGAAGATATTCAAATTTGTAATGATGGAGTACAACGGCTATAAACGGCTATAAGTTTCATTATATACTAAAGCCTTTAATGTAAACAAGTTACAAAAAAAACCAAAAAATATTTTTTGATCTATAATCACTCACATCTATTCTCTGAAAAATTCTCTGAGAAGTGTTTTTCAATTTTTGTTTATATCCTCTCTAAAAAATTATACACTGAGCCTTATAGCATTAAGCTCATCTTTCCTGTGTGAGATTTACAGAAAAATCAAAGCTTCATTTTATATATCTATCTTTGAGAGATAATTCTTGTACTTTCTGTGAAAGCAAAAACACCTTATTTTCAATCTTGTAAGAGTGTAGTACACTCAGTATTCCTGACGTAGAAAGTTTGTGTAAAATCCATAGAGGATTGCTCCATTTGTAAAGAGATTGCTAGCACCCCCGTGAAGCTAAAGCATAGTGGAAAATCTCAAGTGAAGCTTGAGGAGTGGACGTAAGCCGAGTTGAAGCCGAACCACTATAAATTTGTTTGTCTCTCTCTCCCTTATCTCTTTATTTTATTTAAATTGTTGTAGCTATATTTCACATTTTCACTGTGCTAAAATCATTAACTAACATAGTTGTTAGAACACTTGTTTTAATTATTTTTATTTCATTAACTATATTTATCTATTGTGTTAGTCATAATTTTTATTATGGTATTATTAATTTTTAATTGTAAAAACCTAATTCACCCCCCTCTTAGGTTGTCTTTTGGGTAACAAAAACAAGGTCTTATACATTTACAAAACATGACCACATGACTTTCGGAACCTCCTCGGGAGGTAGAAGGGTTGGCTGACAAAAAAAAGCTCCAGGCGATCATCATTGAGCTTGGTCACGTGCCTGATCACCTACATACATAAATAATAAAGTAAGAAGAAGCCCAATGAATATTAATAAAGTAAAGAATTTTAATTGAATAATGTCCCATATTAGATTTAGAAATCAGAATTTAGATTCATATTCTTATTCAGATCATATACAGAATTCAGAGTTCATGCTTAATCATACGTGGTACATCCATTAGCGCTAACAGAACATAACAGATACAAAACAAATGCAGGACAGATGGTAGTTATGTATAACTAGTTCCTTAAAGGAATCTCCAAATTCGGGTAACAGATAATAGATATGCTAAGCTCCAAGATGGAGCCTCTGGTACGGGTAACAGATTACAGATATAATAAGTTTCATAATGAAACCTCCGATACTGGGTAACAGCTAACAGACATGATGCTAAAAATGCCACGAATACATGTTAGAAATTGGACAATCATTTATTGTACAGAGCATAACATTTCAGAAAACAGATCTTATTTCATCATACAGAAACTAAATAAAGTTGAACATAACTTTATTAAGTTATTACTCACAGATGGCTCCAGAAGCAGACAGACAGAGCAGACAAATCAAATAGCTTACGGAATGTGACCTACACAAACATAACAAATACACATATTAAAACACACCCTCAGATAGTACTTAACTTATTTCATTTCGTTCTTAGTGTGTTTCTAGTCCTTAATCTCATCATTATGTCTTAATCATGGCCTCGGAATGCCTAGCATGCAATAAGGATGACAAAACATTGTAACAACCCTGACCTACGATTAGCCGTTAAACCATGATTATGCATGCCTAATAAGTAATTAAGAAGAAATCCTGAGTTAACTACATGTGCATTGCATTATTTGTGTTTATATCTGTCTATCGTAGGAATATATGTTCATGTTTTTGTTTTGTTCTGAGAATTGAATGCCTTATTGGCATCCAAACACAAAATTGACTTGATTTATGTGTTATGTAGGAGTTTTAGCATTTTACGGTAGGTTTAATTAAAATACGATTTGGAACGATTAAATTAGAATAATTAATATCAATTAATTAACCAACTCTTAATTAAGGCTATATAAGGCTAATTTGACCCCACTAGTTCATAGTTACACCCTTATTTCCTCATCTTCAAGCTCCAAAACGTGTGAGAGAGAGAAGAGGAGAGAAATTGGGATCAAAAGCTAGAGAAAATGGAGATTGCTAGGAATTGTTGAAGAATTGAAGAGCATTTAGACGTTTAAGCCTCTACACTTGTGAATTCAAGGTTTAAGATAAGAAATCAAGCCTTTGGTCTTGCTTTTGGGTTGGTGACTTTATGAATATAAGAGGTTTAAGTGCTTAACATGATAATTGACCTTAAGAGCTAGAAATGAAGGAATTTGCATTAAATCATGCATGCATGCATATATCATAGCATTTTGAGTTTGAATTTCAAACAAATCCCTCATGCATGTGTCTATCTTGACTTTGTTTTGAGAATTCATCACATTTTTTTACCATTTGACCTTAATTGATCATGTTTTGGAAAGTTCAAGTTCATAACAAGTCATACATGTCATGTTCATATCATATTTTTAAAAGTTTGAATTTGTACAATTTCAAGCTTTTGGGCCTTAATTTTGCAAAATGATTTTGAATTCTCAATGTTTTACAAGTTTCCAAGTGTTTCCTCAAGTTTTGGGCCCAAGAGAATGTGTTTTGTTGGTTTGAAAATGAATTTTGAAGCTTGGAAACAAATCTGGAAATTCCAGATTTTGCCTCTCCGCTCAAGCGACAAATCCTGCACTTGAGCGACCACCTTTATTTTCGCACTTTCGCTCGAGTGACCAAAAGTTGTCTCGAGCTTAAAATCCACGCTCCCAGAAGTTTAATATTTTTGCGGACCACTCGAGTGACAAGAGTTGCGCTAGAGCGAAAACTTTAGTCTAATGCTCGAGTGACCATCGAGAGGTCGTCGAGCGGAAAATTCAAGCAACTAGTACTTTTGCAAAGTTTACACATCGCTCGAGCGAATAAAGTTGCACTCGAGCGACCACTCACATATCTCCCCTGTTTTCAACATATTTGCCTAAGTGTTTTCAAGTGCATTTTAGCATGCTCATCGCATCCTAGGCATTTCTAAGCCCTAGTTAAGACATAATAATGAAGATAAGAAGTAGAAACACACTTAAAGAAGAAAGAACTCTGTTAATAATTTCGGGTGTGTGATTCAGTACACATTCGTTCTGTATCTGTGTAGGTCACGCGTCGTAAGTTACCTGATTTGTCTGCTCTGTTGTTTGTTTTGGAGCCATCTGTGAGTAATAACTTAGTAAAGCTATGTTCAACTTTATTTGTTTTCTGTATGTGGAATAAGATCTATTTTATGAAATGTTATGCTTTGTACAATGAATGATTGTCTAGTTTCTGACAAGCACTCGTGGCAATAATTTCGTGGTTCAAGTATATGATCTGTTCCCAGTACTGGAGGTTCCTTTGTGGAACTAGCAAGTATGTAATCTGTTCCCAGTACTAGAAGTTCTTGTATGGAACTGGCAAGTATGTTATATGTTCCCAGTACTAGAGGTTCCTGTGTGGAACTGGCAAATATGTTTTCTGTTTCCAGTACTGGAGGTTCCTTTGTGGAATTGGCAAGCATGTTATCTGCTTCCGGTATCAGAAGTTCCTTTATGGAACTAACAAGTATGACCCTTAATGCTCTGTATTTGATTTGTTTGCGCTAATGGATGAACCATATATGAACAAGCATGAACTATGATTTCTGAATATGATTTGAATAAAAATATGAATAAGAATTTGTTTTTGATATAAACTCAGATTTCTTAATCTAGTAGGACATCATTCATTTAACCCTTTGCTTTGTTATTATTCATGGGGCTTTGCTCATTATTTATATTATGTATGTAGGTAAGCAGGCGCGTGACCAAGCCTAAGCTGCTGCCTAGAGAGTTTTGAGTCAGCCAGCTACAGTGCCTCCCGAGGAGGTTCCAGCTTTATCGAAGTCAAGCTTGTGAACCATGTTAAAGACATCTATTTTGATTTGTTTTGTTGTTTGTACATTAGGCTAAGTTGCTTTTTGGTTGTATATGCATGTTACCATTAGCCTTATGTAATGTTGACGTCATGTATGTATGTATATAAGTTTTAAAATTTCTGTCCTATGTATGTTAGCACGGCTCAATGGACTACGTATATTATATATTTGCTTCCGTAGCCCCTAATTATATGTTATTCTATTCAGAGACCTTTGGTAACCCAAGGATTACTAGCCGGTTACGATGCTAAACTTATAGGGACGGGTTTGGGTCATGATAGTGTGGTATCAGAGCACGTGTTATACCGCACGCACGAGTCCATATGAGCTATAAGATGTCCTAGAAAAGAATTAGGGACATTTTATTCACATGTGTGAGTTCTATAAATGTGAAAATTGAACCTGACTATGAACATATGAAATTGAAATGAATGAACTGAGGTTGAATGATCTGAATATTGTGAAAGGGACTATTTGCCTATGTTTATAAGTGCTTTGTTTACCTCTAGCAAATGGAAAATACAAGAAGTAGTGATGCCAATGAATCCTCTGAGACCTGAATGAGTCGAATGGAACAAATGCTTGCAGTTTTGACTAAAGCAATGACGCAACAACAGAGGTAACAACCTTTACCTCCTCCGCCTCCTTCAGTCCAAGTTGAACCGGATAACAATGATATTATAAATCTAATTCAGAAGTTCATGAAGATGAAACCGCCGACTTTCTTGGGTGGTATTGAACTCTTAAAGGCAGAAACATGGTTACTCGAAATGGAGAAACTGTTTGAAGTATTTCCTTGTTCCGAGACACAAAAAGTTCTTTTGGCCACCTACACTTTAAAAGATGAAGCTCGGAGATGGTGGTTATTGATCCGAACAAATAATAGGAACATGACATGGATTCAATTTAATGAGATCTTCTACGACAAGTACTTTCCCCAATGCTTCAGAAATCGGAAAGTGTTAGAATTTCAAGAACTTATGCAAGCCAGGATATCTATAGCCAAGTATGAGGCTAAATTCATTGAGTTAGCCTGGTTTGCTCCATACATAGTGGATACTGATTACAAAAAGGCACGGAAGTTCGAAGGCGGTTTGGATCTGGAAATGTTTGATCGAGTAGGCGTTTTAAAGTTGCCTACATACATGGAGGTACTTGATAGAGCATTGATGGCAGAGGCCATTCTGGCAGCAAAGAAACAAGTTCCAGCTCCAACAACAGAATTGAGAGGTAAAAAACCTGGATCTAATTTTCGGAAAGGTCGTTCATCGTTTACAAACAAAAAGCAAAATATTGGGTCATCAAGCATTTCAAGACAAAGCAATGGATCCATGTCAGTCTGTTCTAAGTGTGGAAAGAAACATAAAGGCATGCACTACCGTGTATCTGGTATTTGTTTTCTGTGTGGCAAGACTGGCCACATGATTCGAGATTACCTGTTGAGATTTGATAATGCTAATTGTCCTACAACAAGTTCAGCCGGATCTGCTCCTGCAATGAGGACCAATGCAAGAACTAACGCCAGGGGCAATACCGAGAATGAAACGCTAAGGCAAGGAAGAGTGTTCGTACTAATGCCTGGGTATGTACAAAATACTAAATCTGTGGTGTTAGGTATAATCCCTATCTATGCTCAGAATGCCTATGTGTTGATAGATTCTGGTTCCACACATTCATTTATATCGTATGCTTTTTCTCGGAAATTAACTAGACCATTAGAACTTATGAATTGTTTACTAGCTGTGTCTACACCATCTAGAGGTTCTATGATATGTGCTTATGTATACCCGACATGTGAAATTATGACTAGTGATAAGATATTGTATGTTGATTTGCTGCCTTTGAGAATTTATTATTTTGATTGTATTCTGGGTATGGATTGGTTAACAAAATACTATGCCACCATCGATTGTGTGAGTAAATTTGGCATATTTAGACCACTTGGTATGCCTAAATTTGTATTCGTTGGGAATGAGATAATTCCTCCACTGTATTTGATTTCTTTTGTGAAAGGCAAAATGTTTTTAAGAAAACGGTGTCGGGGCTACTTATGTTGCGTTTTGAATGTGACCTCTGATAGTTCTACTGTTGAGAACATCCCCATAATAAATGAATTTTCTGATGTATTTCCAAATGAATTGCTCGGAGACTTAATTGATAGGGAAATCGAGTTTACTATCGATGTTATACCCGGGACACAACCGATTTCTAAAACCCCATACAAAATGTCCACTTCTGAATTGAAAGAATTGAAAACTAAACTCCAGGATTTGTTAGACAAAAAGTTTATCTGCCCGAGCACTTCATCCTAGGATGCTCAAGTCCTATTTGTTAAGAAGAAAGACAGATCTTTAAGGCTGTGTATAGATTACTGGGAGTTGAAAAAGTAACTGTCAAGAACAAGTACCCACTACCCCGAATAGATGACTTATTGACCGACTTTAGAGAGCACAAGTGTTCTCCAAGATAGACCTTAGATCCCGGTATCACCAGCTAAAAGTTAAAGCAGAAGACATTGAGAAAACTGCATTCAGAACTAGATATGGGCACTATGGGTTTTTAGTAATGCCATTTGGGGTAACAAATACACCTGCAGCATTTATGGATCTAATGAATAGGGTTTTCAAACACTTTCTTGATGAATTTCTTGTTGTATTTATTGATGATATACTGGTTTACTCCAAAAGCAGGGAAGAGCATAAGAATCATTTGAGAACTGCTTTACAGATTTTAAGAGAAAATAAATTGTATGCAAAGTTATCCAAATGTGAATCCTGGCTTGACAATGTAGCATTTCTAGGGCATGTAATCAACAAGGAGGGTATCTCTGTTGACCTATAGAAAATCTAAGCTATTGTGGACTGGCCTAGGCCAACTAATGTGTCAGAAGTTTGAAGTTTTCTGGGGCTTGCTGGCTACTACAGAAGATTTGTGAGAGACTTCTCAAAACTTGCTATGCCATTGACACAGAAAAATGTACCATTTGATTGGAATGATCAACGGGAGTCAGCCTTTCAAGAATTGAAAACTAAACTAGTAACTGCACCAATTCTAACCTTGCCTAACGAAACCGATGGCTTTCAGATTTACAGTGATGCTTCTTACAAAGGTTTGAGGTGTGTGTTAATGCATAATGGGAAGGTAATTGCTTATGCCTCTCGGCAACTCCGTCCACATGAAAAGAACTATCCGAGCCATGACCTGGAACTCGCAGCTGTGGTTTTTGCACTAAAGATTTGGCGACACTACTTATATGGAGTGACATGCGAAGTGTACACTGACCATAAATTCAGAAATATTTCTTTACCCAAAAAGAACTAAACATGAGACAGAAAAGATGGCTGGAATTGATCAAAGACTATGACTTGTAGATCTTGTATCATCCAGGGAAGGCATATACCATTGCAGATGCAGTAAGCCGAAAATCTATGAGGAATTTGTCATGTCTGCTCACTGGTCAGATAGAGTTGTTATGTGACTTGGAGAAGAATGAGATTGAAGTTGTACTGTATGAACAACGTGGGATATTGGCCGCCATTTTTGCCCAGCCTGCAATCATTGAAGAGATTAGAGAGAAGCAACTTGAAGATGAGTTTTTGAAGAAAATTGTTGATGAGATTGACTCAAAACCAAGGCCAGGACAATGTATTGACATTTTAAGGTAAACTTTGTGTACCGGACCATTTTGAATTAAGGAAACATGTTATGACTAAGGTCCACAACTCCAAATTTGCTATCCATCCAGGGAATACAAAGATGTATCATGACCTAAAACAGACTTTCTGTTGGCCTGGAATGAAGAAATGTATTGGAGATTTTGTGGCAAGATGCCTACATTGCCAAAAAGTTAAAGACGAACATCAACGATCTGCTGGTTTGCTATAGCCGCTCCCAATACTGGAATGGAATGGGAGCACATTACCATGGACTTCATTATGGGATTGCCTCGCTCTTCTTGAGATATGGATTCTATTTGGGTCATAGTTGACCGTTTAACTAAATCTGCTCATTTTTTGCTGTTAAAACTATTTATAATGAGGACAAGTTGGTTGACATTTATATGAACGAGATTGTGAGGTTGCATGGTGTCCCAATATCCATTATATCTGACAGAGATTCGAAGTTCACGTCAAGATTTTGGCAGAGTTTGCAACAGGCTTTGAAGACTAAACTGCGATTGAGTAGTGCCAACCACCGACAGACAAATGGCCAATCTGAACGAACCAATCATATTTTGGAAGATATGCTCAGGATGTGTGTGTTGAACTTCCAAGAGAATTGAGAGATTTACCTTCCTTTGGCCGAGTTTGTGTACAACAACAATTACTATTCAGGCATTGCAATGGCTCCTTATGAAACTTTGTATGGTAGAAAGTATCGATCTCTGATTTGCTGGGCTGAGGTAGGTGATAGACTATTGTTGGGACCGGAACTTGTGCAAGAACAATTGAGAAAGTGAAATTGATTCAACAACGTTTGAAAACTGCACAGAGCCGTCAAAAAAGTTTTGCGGATATCCGGAGAAGGGACAGAGAATATGAAATTGGTGGCCATGTATTTATCAAAGTAACTCCAATAAAAGGCCAGACACGATTCGGGGTGAAAGGAAAGCTAGCACCAAGATACAATGGCCCGTATGAAGTTTTAGAGAAAATCAACTCAGTAACATACTGGGTGGCCTTACCTCCGGTCATGGAAAATATGCACAATATGTTTCATGTCTCAATGCTTCGGAATTATTTGAGAGACACGTTGCACGTGATCGAGCCAACCCATGTACTTCTAAAAGATGACTATACGTACGAAGAGAGTCCAATTCAGATTGCGAATCGTAGAATCAAACGACTAAGGAACAAAGAAATACCCTTGGTAAAAGTTGATTGGCAAAACCATGGAGGAACCTATGTAACCTGGGAGACGGAGGAAGATATGATGAGAAGATACCCTGATTTGTTTCCTTTGGATCCGCTGTTCTTCCAAAATAAAGGTAATTCGAGTTTGGAGGACCAAACTCTTTAAGGAGGGAAGACTGTAACAATCCCGACCTATGATTAGCCGTTAAACCATGATTATGCGTGTCTCATAAGTAATTAAGAAGAAATCCCGAGTTAACTACGTGTGCATTGCATTATTTGTGTTTATATCTGTCTATCGTAGGAATATCTGTTCATTCTTCTATTTTGTTTTGAGAATTGAAGGCCTTATCGGCATTCAAACACAAAATTGAATTGATTTATGTGTTATGTGGGAGTTTTAGCATTTTATGTTAGGTTTAATTAAAATTCGATTCGGAACGATTAAACTAGAATAATTAATGTCAATTAATTAACCAACTCTTAATTAAGCCTATATAAGGCTAATTTGACCCCACTAGATCATAGTCGCACCTTCATTTCCTCATCTTCAAGCTCCAAAACATGTGTGAGAGAGAAGATGAGAGAAATTGGGATCAAAAGCTAGAGAAAATGGGGATTGCTAGGAATTGTTGGAGAATTGAAGAGCATTTAGAAGTTTAAGCCTCTACACTTGTGAATTCAAGGTTTAAGGTAAGAAATCAAGTCTTTGGTCTTGCTTTTGGGTTGATGAGTTTATGAATATAAGAGGTTTAAGCGCTTAACATGATAATTGAGCTTAAGAGCTAGAAATGAAGGAATTTGCATTAAATCATGCATGCACGCATATATCATAGCATTTTGAGCTTGAATTTCACACAAATCCCCCATGCATGTGTCTATCTTGACTTTGTTTTGAGAATTCATCACATTTTTTTACCATTTGACCTTAATTGATCATGTTTTGGAAAGTTCAAGTTCATAACAAGTCATACATGTCATGTTCATATCATATTCTTGAAGTTTGAGTTTGAATTTGTACAATTGTTAAGCTTTTGAGCCTTAATTTTGCAAAATGATTTTGAATTCTCAATGTTTTACAAGTTTCCAAGTGTTTCCTCAAGTTTTGGGCTCAAGAGAATGTATTTTGTTGGTTTGAAAATGAATTTTGAAGCTTGGAAGTACTCGAGCGAAGACCTTAGTCTCACACTCAAGCGACCATCAAGCTGCCGTTGAGCAAAAAATTCAAGCAACCAGTATTTTTGCAAAGTTTACAGACCGCTCAAGCAAATGAAGTTGCACTCGAGCAACCACTCACATGTTTGGATGTCCGCTCGAGCGAAGGAAGTTGCGCTCGAGCGAGGCCCCTGTGTAGCTCGGCTTTTTCGCGCACTCTCTTTCAGAAGTTTGAAAGAAGCCCTACAGTTCGGACTCCCATGATTCTAAATCTAATCTCATAAGTGTAATGTAAAATTGATAAACATCAAAGATTCCAAATCCAACAAATCTTTTGGAAAATCAATTTTGAATCCAAAAATGTAAAAATTGGACTGTTTTGCTAGATACAGAGTAGCCACCTAAATATTTTATTTTGGAAAAATTTAGGAAACCCATGACTCGTGCCAAAGGCCATGTGTCCGTCATCACCAAGATTGTCTCGGCTCGGGAACTTAGGTACGAGAGGGGAATGTCATGAATTGAGCACCCCCGCTCGCCCGATCAAAAATCGACCTCTACTAATTATGATATGATTTTTATCAACATTGTATGCTTTTGTTCCGGTTTATTAGGCTAGTATTTACTATGTGATGCGCGCACACAAGGTATAGACTAGTTTTCCTGAATTGGAACAATTCAATTTCATGTTTGGTTTTTCGAAAAGGGTTTGATTTTGCCACTTAACAAAGTGGGCTTAAAATTTATGAATTTGCTACTTGACAAAGTGGGCTTAAATGTACATTCATTGAATCATTCCAATTCAGGCAACAAGCCTTCATTTACAGGCACTCAAACAGTTTTACAAGTAAGCATTTAGCCTCATAACAAGCATGCTAGTCATGGCAGTCACTCACACACATGCAAGTATGCTAAGGTACTAAAAACTCATCTAGTCCAAACTAAGACAAAACAAAAGAGTTAGAAAAATATACATGATACCTAACGATACAAGATGGCTAATGCAACACATGCAATAATGCAACTAAAGTAGGCTCGGCTACTTAACATGTTATTTGCAACAATTTCATAGTATGCGTTTAAACACGTATTCAACGAGGTAATAAACGACAATGCAAGTTTGAATGATAAACTGAGCCTCGGTGCATGCAAGACAATGAATGGATGAAAATATGCGATATACTAATTGAAACGTGATGCTCCTAATCTAACCATAAAAAGCGGATAAATAAAAAAAGAGAAAGACGTGGGATTGGAAGACATACACATTATTACAACATTGATGCCCTTGCGCAGGAAGGCCCAAATGAATAAACTAACTAAGCTAAACTACTTAACTAATTATTACAAAACTTGAATAAATAATTAACTACCTCTAAGCTAATTAAATATTGCAACAATTAAATAATTAATTATGCTAAGCTAATTAATTAATGAACTAATTTAATAAACTACTTTAAGCTAATTAAATAAGTACAATACGAAGCTAATTAGTTAACTACATTAACTAATTAATTATAAAGTGACTAATTAAACTAGCTAACTAATTAATCAACTAGCCTTAGTAAATTATTAAAACACGTAAGCGCAACAACTAAATGAGAAATGACTAATTTAAACTAATTAACTAGTCCGGGAAGCGAAGAAGGCCCATGCATACTTGGTTTAACTAGTCCGGGAAACGAAGAAGGCCCATGCATACTTGGTTTCCACCCGAAGAACGTCCATTGTTTACTCCCGAAAGCCTCTGTTGCACAACCCTTGCACTGGTTTTCCTCTTCCAGATCAATTCTGCTCAAAATTCACTGGTGGCCGGCCTGCCACCAGTAGAGGGTTGTCGTCCAACACTGATGGCCCGCAGGCTAGAAATAGTGGCTGGCCGACCACTGATGATACACCATTTCTTGCTGCAACAGAGAGCAAACAGAGCAAAGAGAGAGTATTCTCACAGGTTGCTTGTACTGTGTATCCCTCCTTATCATCAAAAACAAGCTCAAAGGAGTGATACACTTGGTTCAAAGACCATCAATCAAGCAATTTCATTGCATGATGGCTAAAGAACCAAGGTGAACAAGTTTAATCAATGCACAAACAAGACTAAAACCTTCACCCTATCATGTATGATCAAGGGCAATGGAGACCTAGGAAACTTGACACATTTCATCACTTTGAGTATGAAATGCAATTAACGTCCGATTTGAACACACCAAAACAAAACAATTCTTGACTTTGCGCAATTTTAGTTTCAACTTTTAGTTACTCATTTTAATTACCAACCATTCTTTAACCAATTTAGTCCATTTATGAGAAGTCCTCTAAAGAGAAGGAAGTGTCAAACAAGGGATAGTGTAAGGCAAGAGAGAGATGCCATGCCGTTGATAATGAACTCCCAAAAGAGGATTAAACCATTAAGCATGGACCTCAATCTCAAGCTTAAACAATCCTAAGGTTGAAACAACCCTCAAAACAAACAAAGAGTCAAGAAATGAGGGAGGTTGCAGAGATTATGCTTGCTGAAATTAAAAGTGAGAAAAGCACAAAAACAATGCAATCAACTCAAACAAGTAATGTCTAAAGGCCTAAAACACCAAGCTTGTGAGGACACTTACACTAGAAGCATGCAAAACAAAACTCAAATGCAATAACCAGCTAAAAACAAAGGCAAGACAATCCAAAACAAAGGTTAAAACATGTTGAAATTAAGCTATAAAAGGCTAGAAAATTAAGCTAACACATAGAGCTAACTAGGCTAGCAAACATGACATAAGGAGGGGAGGCTAACCCCTCTAAATTTGGACGTCAAAACAAGATTTTCACCACTGAAAATACTCTAAAATTCAGTATTTAAAAGCTCAAAAAAAGATGGTTTGAAAGTTGGAAACAAAGGTAGAAAGGCCTTATAAACAAGGAAGAAAGAAGGGTGAACCAACCCTTACCTTTAAATAGCCTACAACCACCAATTTCAGCCCACAAAAACAGAGTTTTTATAGCCCAAAAATAGCCCAAAATTAGTGGGAAAAGATAAGAAAAGTAGGTATGCAAAGCAAGTTAAAAAAAAGCAAGTATTATACCTCTTGAAGGGAATATCAACTTTAGGCAACAATTCAAGCCAAAACCACCTTCTAGAGCTCCAAGAAGGCCTCAAGAAACCTCAGCTCAAAGATGAACCACTTTGGTTAAGGAGGTGTAGGCAAAAGTGTGGTGTATCTAAGCTACTATGCACAAACTTGCAAAAGAGAGAGAGAAATGTAGAGAGAGAGAGAGAGAGAGAGAG